AAAGGGCGTGTGGTGTGGCATCAAATATCGATGATTCACCATGAAAGGAAGTTGTTATAAACTCAGTGTACATTCTCTGTATACATACATCTGTACCAAACCTTACAGGTTTGACACAAACCATGGATTATTATTATTCATCCCCACCACATTTTGACATGGATGATTTTGGCCCCACTTTGTTAAAAATGTTCTGAAAAGTAGCTTGCACCAGGAAATGTGAAAATGCTTAAAGAACAGTTTATTTGCACAATAAGAAAACATGTAATGTAATTTAAATATAGAAGAAACAAATGTGCATTGCCAAAAAAAGTAACCTAAGATTTAAAAAAAACAAGCTGTGGATTACTGTTATATTCGGTTATGTTTTTATATTTTGTGACCTGCCAGCTGAATTTTGTTTCCATTTATATAAAGACATTTCCACCATAAATGGAGAAGAAAATGTCTCCAGAATGAAGGAAATTAAATGTTTAATGCTATAATTTTATGGAGGAGGACCCACAGCTCATATATTTCAGCATTTCATATTTCTTCTAAATAGTGATAAAAGTCTTCTTGTCTTGTTCACGAGCATCATCACAACTTGTGATCCTTGTTTATCATTAAGCTCCTAATCTGAGCTCTTATGTCCACAACACTTTTCAACACAAAGTGACGTCCTTGTTAATACAGCTGTTAGCTCAATTATTAGAGCACTTTCATGCTCAAGCCCTAATTAAAGCTGCAAGCAGAGTTGAATGGGCTCTGGCCACACGGACACCTCAGGGGCCACAACAGCTGCAGTCTTGTCACCAGAAGCCGGCTGACAGGGCACTGTATTAGACACTGCACTTGGAACGTTTTCCACCATTTACATGAACAGCAAACGTAACAAGATATTTTCAATGATGTAATTAAATTCTAAGCATTATTAAACTGCATCATACTTTGCTCACTTCATAAAAACAGGTGAACATATCACACAATTTATATATGTATTTTCTGGATCTGCCAACAGATATGAGAGCCACCACACATGACTTTCTCTTGTCAATAAAACTGCAACATCTTCAGCTGAAGATATATATACGTTAGAAATTCACAAGCTGTAATCAGGCAGTTCTGGATTCAGAAATCAAATTGAAAATACAACTATTGGTACCTTTTCTCGAAAATGTATTGCTCAGTAGTTAAGTCAACTTCCTCCCAGAAAACAAGAAGCTTCTCTTCCTCATTCATATGAATGCCTAGGCTGTCACAAACCGGTTGTGTGGCTATGTAGACACAGACTTTTTTCACAATATAATATTATGACTTTTCTGACTTTATATGACAATGAGAAAGAACATATTGTTCTTTGTAAAATATAGTTTTTTTTATCCTCCATCAGACTCAGATTGACCACAGTTTGAACACATCACCAGCTTTTCATGTAAGAATATCAAAAACTGGAGAGTGTTACAAACAATTTCTTTACTAAAACAAACTATTTATTTTCAAAAGCAAACTTACCAGCAACAGGAAGATGCAGCTTTTGTCTGTGGTTGACAGTTGTGCTGAACACTATCTGGATTGACAGACTCCACCCACATAACAGGAAGTGTGAAGTAACGGAAGAGTGTGTTAGAGAGAACTGTGGCCTGCGCTGTGTCACAGAGCAGGCCACACATCATCATGTTAAAAATAAAGGCCTGACTTTCCTGTGACTTCACTCCTACAGACGTGACTTGCAAAGCAAAAACAACAAATCCTAAAACAACAAATAAAGAAGATGGCAAAACCAACAAATCCTAAAATGATCTAGGACTGTTTGCAGAGCTATTCGCTTCTTCTAAAAGAATAATAAATAATTAATCACTTAGCTGATGCTTTAATCCAAAGCGACTTATAACTGCTATACAGCATGTCATTAGTCACATGCCCCTGGAGCAACTATTGGTCTTGCTCAGGGACACACATTGATAGATATCACAATGGGAATCGAACCTGGGTCAATTCCCACCACTACTATCCACTGTCCATCGCCACCTCATCTAAAGTTTAGTCGAAAGAGAATGCTCCTGATGTATAGCATTAATTTAGGAAATAAGCAAATTAATGTTTCTGGACCTAACTTAATTTCTGTTGGCATTTTAAGCTATTATTTGCCATCGCCTTCCAGAGTGTCTGCACTCACATCTGAGGTTCAGTTTGTCTGTAGATAAAAGTCTATCTGACCGGACACAAAGTTCACAAAATCTTTGCCTTGTGCTGAGTCTCCACACACCTCTAGTGCATTTATTATTCGGGAAGCAGAGCTTCGAACAAATAGGGATATGCTTCAAAATTATTATGCCCATATATTCAAAAAGTTTTAATAGAGGCAGCATTCTTTTATCTATAAATAAAAAATCGATCCTAGAAAAGGAGTGTTGAATATGAAAATGAATACTGTCGGATTTAGGGTAGCATCAATTAGCCTGTAAGTCTGAAATAAATCGTTCCCATAACAAACAGAGAATTAATCCAATTGACTTCAGATTTTCGCTGTGCAATTAGACACTGATTATGAAATGTTGTGCTATCTGTGAATTTGTATTCAAAAAGTGATGATTTGGCATGAACAGGAAGTCTTTATACCTTCAGTGTACATAATCAAATCTCCCATCCTCCCGTCACTGCGCTGCAGCTGTGCATCACTGTGCTATTTACAGCTTTAATGTTGTTATTAAACTTTCCCAGCATTCCATTAAAACATGTACATGAAAAACACCTGGCCTGTAGTCAACATGCACTCTGCACACTGTTGGGGGTGTGCAGTGCACACAGTTAGGGTTAGGGGTTTGGGCAGCGTATGATACAAGCCTGCACAAAGTCATGTGGTTTACAGGTCATAGTGGTTGTTGTTGGTAAGGCAAAGAGTAAATGGTTGTCCACATTCTCCACTGATCTGCTGTAAATCCTATAAAGTTAAAAAGCCAGAAGAAATTTGTAATGGAATTCTTCCAACCTCATAAGGTACTTTTCCACTCAAGTTCATCAAGGCTCTTTGTTGTTAAAATTCCTAGTTCTATTCACATTTAGAACACACATATTGCTGTACCAAGGAGAATGTTGTGCTTGGATCTATGATCTATGATGAAAAATCTGATGGCATCATAGTAACGCCGTTGTTTTGTCGCAGCTGATAGGGTAACACCTGTGACACGCCCACCAAACATACCTCGAAGCCCATTGCGGAATGTTGTACAACGTTGCAAGGAAACATGTCGTTCAATCTGAAACCGGTGCAAAACATTTTGAGACTGAGCTCGTCCCTAGTGTGAGCACAAGCATTGACTTGAGTGGCTGCGATCAGCTAGGCAGCCGCGACGCAGACGGACGCAGGTGGGACCCGTGATGAAGCTGTGCAGAGCACAGTGGGGGCGGAGCACAGTGGCTCTGTAGCACCACTCCCACAGAGAACACATATGTGGAAGAGATCCTGAATGTACAGAAAGGTTTTAACATGAGCAGAAAACCTGCTGAAACACAGGTGAAGTCCCCAGACCCTCCTCTTCATTTTTGTTCCCTCCTCCATTGAATGAATGAATGAATGAAGCCTTTATTTGTCCCACAGTTGGGAAATTGCAAGAAATTGGAGTAAGCCTCCGGGCCGCAGCCATATTCAGCGCCGCCACTCGCTTCCCAGAAAAGAATTAATGCAGACAGCAGCACAGTATACATGACAATACATGATAGTACACAAGACAACACACATTACATGCGGTCACATGATGGGATTTTTTGAGGTGACTTGTAAGGAAGACAATTAAAGAGGGCAGTTAATGAGGCAGTCAGTTGGGTGTGTGTGTGTGTGTGGTGCGAGTAAGATAATGAATCTGTGTTTGTGAAGTATGAGGCTACTGAGTTAATTTCACTGGTACACTGAAGCTTAGTCTTTAACTCCCTACTTGCAGAGCTTGAAGTAAGCTGCTACTCATCGCACGTCTATATTTAACTCTTTAGCATAGCGGGACTTTTTTACTGGACACCGGCACGTCTCAGCAGCTGCTGGTCTTTTCTGCCTTCTCCATATCAGGTTCTCAGGGCGATTCATATGGTCCTAAATAAACTGCATTACCCAGAAGGCACTATGTGACGCTTTCCTGTTCCCATTCTCACCTTCCTACTAATCTGTGTAAGCAGAGAAAGAGCAGGGAGAAACTCCGGATGAAGCTTTATGATAACTACACACTATAAATCATTAGTTATAAATTAGTAAATATGGAATTCATCATTTAAGAATCAGAATCAGAATCAGAATCAGCTTTATTGCCAGGTATGTGTACACATATGAGGAATTTGACTCAGGATTGTACATTGCTCATGATGTGCTTACTCATACAAAAACACAATAATGAAATAATAAAAAAATAAATCAGACAAAAACTACAGTATAGACAACACTAATATACACATTATGAACAAAACAATATAGACATATTGACAAATAGTGCAGTGATCAGAGTGCAAAGGATGCAGGAGTAAACTATTATTCTCATTATGTACATGTTGAAGGTGGATATGATGCAGATACAGGTACACATACATGTACACATGTACACGGTGTGATGGAGCATAGTGCAAAGTATGCTGGAAAAAATAAATAAGACCTATGACCTTATGACCTGAGGTAGGTGTATTGGTATACAGTATATACAATATGACATAGTATGAACAGCACTGAAATAGAGAATGGTGAATAAATAAATAATAAGTGGAAACCAGTAAACAGGTGCTGATTAGTTAGAGTTACTGGGATATTGCACAGGAATTGTTCCTGACACTGTGAGTCAGAAATCAGCTGTTCATCAGAATGATGGCTTGTGGGAAGAAACTGCTTCTGTGTCTGTTGGTTTTGCCGTACAGTGCTCTGTAGCGCCTACCAGAGGTGGAGGAGATGGAACAGGTTGTGTCCGGGGTGAGATGGATCTGCAGTGATGTTTCCTGCCTGTTTCCTGACTCTGGAAATGTATAAGTCCTGAATGGAGGGCAGGTTGGCACTGATGATCTTTTCTGCAGTCCTGACTGTCCGTTGTAGTCTGCTGCTGTCCTTTTTGGTGGCAGATCCAAACCAGACAGTGTTGGAGGTGCAGAGAATAGACTGGCTGTGGATCAGGAGGTAGAGCGGGTTGGCCGTTAATCGGAAGGTCGGCAGTTTAATCCCATTGAACTGCCGCAATGCATGTCAAAGTGCTGAACCCCGAATTGCCCCTGGTGGCTGGCAGAGTATGAATGTTTGAATGAATGTGTTCGTTTCTGTTTGAGCACTTAGGCTCAGTGTATGAATGTGTTTGACTGGTGAATGCAGATGTAGTGTAGATGTGTTTATGGGGTGTCACATTGTAATATGTTTGTAATGTGGCCTCTGAGCAGCTCTGAGTCTATTTTTAATTTTATTTCTTTTTTAAATAGACTGAAACTATTAATTACATGATAGGAAATCTGCAGTATTTAGCCCATCAGCATCACATAAACATGGTAGCACGCTCTGATGTCTTTGCAAAGGCGTCTAAGAATACTCTTCTTGTGCTCCTTTCCAAGCAAGTGGTTCCACTCAATGAACCTCAAGTTCATTTTTAATGCCTTTTCTGTCAGGTTTCCTCTGTATCGGTAAATGTCCTCTTTATAATTTCGCAATGCCTATTCAATATGCTCTGTGTGAGCACCACTCCCAGGGTGGACAAAATGTCTCCTGTGATTCACCTGATAGTGAATGTAACCATGACGTGATAACCTGTTGTAGGCACTCCAGCTATCACTTATCACTTTACTACCAGGTCTAATGTACTTCTGGATAATTGGGAGCAGTCGCTTCCTGGATTGATATTTTACATGCTTTAAGATTGGACGTCTATGGCATCCCTTGACTTCCACCATTCCAAAGACCCATGAGCGTCCACGTCATCCACGTCCATACTGAAAATAAGTAAAATTTAATCTTGCTTAATGATTGTCCACCTACCAGATGTACTGTACATTTTTAAAACAGTGTTTACCATTTTAGTTATAAAACCAGTCCTTACCCTTCTTTTGTGTCTGAATTTGCTCTCATCTATGGCAACAAAAGCTCTCCTCCCTCCTATACGCATTTTCCGTCCAATCTCCAGTCGCCTGACTGCTTTACCACAGATCTCTCTTAACAGTGTGGTCACCCTGGTCAGTGATTGGCTGCTTCCACATACAGTACTCCATCCTCGATAATGTCCACTTGTCTCTTCCTCAAACCCTGCAACAAACTGAGAAAAAAAACTACTGAACATGACAACAAAATACCAGTTGATACCCTGATAGCCTAATTGTAATAATACAACAATGTTTAAATATAATAATTAAATTACCTATCAACAAACCAGCAAATGTGGATTTAATAAATCAGTAATATTAGGCAATATTGCAGGACATTGTTACAGCGTAACCAACACAAAAACAGAGCACGAGATAGAGAAACAGAGAGAGATCTCAACCTGTGCATAATCTTCATCCATGATGCTGACGTAATGTGTGACCTGGAGAATATTGAGCCCTCTCTGATGGACCTTGTGATGCCCCCGCCCCTGTAGTTTGCCTTTCTACAGCTACCGTAACATATCATATCACATAATCTGTAAATATCCAATACTGCATACTTTGTCAGACTATAATAAGGTACTGGGTGATCATTGTTGATAGCAAACCACTAGAGTGAGTACTGGAAGACTATGGGAAGTGATATTTTTTGCTGTTTTGGTTCTATACTACAACAACTTCAGTGTGAAAGGATTCCATGACCATGAGGTTCAAGTACACACTGTCAGCTTCAGTTTTAGGGTACTTACATCCATACGGGATGAGATCAGCACTTTTTGTACATGATCCCCTCATTTTATGTTACTAAGTATTTGGAATGATTAACTAACTCAGGATGCTACAATACAGTGTCACTGTCCAAAAGTTGTGCTTACTGTCACTTCTCCTCCAATCTAGACACTGTATAATGTAATGGCACATTGATCCAGGTGTAGCCTGTGTGGCAGTGATGCTTGGCTCTTACCACCTATATCCATCCTTGGTTGTGTTGGTTCTTTTGAGTTTCATTCTGTTGTTGCACACAGGGCATCGTTTTTTTTCTTGACAACAGCCTCTCCCTCTGGAGCCATTTTATTATTTTTTTACCCCCTTGTGCTGTCCTCTGAAGTAATGTTCTTGTCAATGTCATATTTCTGAAAAATACAGATAATTTAAAATGTAAGAGACGTAACATGTAGCTGTAGTACTAACCTGTCTGTGTTCTAACCATCCGGCAAAGTCTCTTAAATCTTACATGTATATTCTAGATATATAAATTAATTCCACTCACACTTTCTTGGCACCGCAGTCTTCGCGGAAAGACCGGAAAATGCGTCAAACCGGAAGAGTCTGACTAGCGACAGTGGCTGCAGAAAGAGCGCTGAAGTTATCTACTGTGAGAAGGTATGTTTCATCGGATTACATCCTACAGTCTATGGTTATATCCCAGATGCTAAAAGAGACCACCGCTCATTTCAGACAATTAACATATGTTTTAGCTATATTTTTATTCTTTAATTGTTTCATCATATTCATTATTTTTAAATAAACAGCCAAGGACATGAGTTATCAGATGAACCAATAAGAGCAGAAGCCCCCCAGATGATGAGCCGCTGCAGTCGGATAATGAAGGTAACTTAATATTACATAACGTTAGTAAAGAATTTAATAACGATAAAATGTTTAGTTTGTGTGCCACGTCACTCTTACAAGTACAGTTACAGTGTTAGTACAGTGTTTTTTCACTGTACGGTTTTTACAGTAAGTGTGATTGCTCAATCACAGAGCTCTCTGCAATAACTTGTTTACTTGCTAGCATAGTATCAGGATAACGTCAGCAACATTTACAGTAAACAACCTACGTATGTTGTAACATTACAGTTTAAACCACAAATTACAGGGTGCAAACCTCACCAATCACTCTGAGTGTCCCTCATAGTGATGTGTCAGCCGAAGGAGTCGGCTTAATGTAGGCCTAATAAGCTGTAAAACTTAATAGCCAAGTCTCAAATAGCTGCCTACCTCTTCCTGGCCTGGTGTGGGAACACATTTAGACAAATAAATGCAGGTGCCCATTACACACCTGGTCTGTTTTTTGGATGTATAAAACCTCTTAAACCGCATGGTCGCCCGCTTTAGCTGCTTCTAAGCTGCTCACATCGTTAATACAAATATTAATGTTTAAACTTATGATCTATGTGTCAGTATGGACATGCTACACATCGTTAGATCAGTTAGATTTTCCATTCAACTGTTCAGTTCATTTAACAGAAACAACAAGCCCCAAAGTCAGATTTTTAAAGATATACTGATGTAACCTGCATGGTACAAGAGATGAAAAGAAAAAAAAGTACCGACTCCTGTTACCTTTGAAGCGCTCATTAAGTCCGATGTGTCCCTTCTTTGATTATTTATTTATTTACTGGTTTATTTATTATTATCTATTATTTGTTCCTCCCATAACCAACACAGAAGGCGTTTTCCATAGGCTTAATTATTCAAGCTGTATGTTATTTTGCGTATATTATGCAATGAATAAGAGAAATATACTACTAGAAGATGATTTGAGAACACTTAATTACTTACTAAATGTTTTGTTACTCTGTTTTAGGGTCCCACAAAAAGAAAGTTCTGGATTCTTCAGACTCTTCAACATCTGGCTCTGAGTCTGACTCCTAACCTGAAAGAGGGAAGAGGAAGAGAAAGCAGAAGAAGAACAAGAAAACCCATGCAATATTTGGAAAAAGAGGTGACTTATATAATTTGAAAAAAGCAGTTGTAACATAGTTAAAAAGGTTCAGGTTAAATCCTACTAAATGGGATTACTGTGCCACCTGCTGTCATAAAGTTGTACCTGCAGCAAACTCTAGTAATGACAAAGGATTATGGGTAATCCTCAAAGCAGCGGAGGATTTTCCCTTAGGTAACGTGAATGCCACATGAGATGACTATTTAACACTGTATTCCTTTGTCATGAATGCAGATGTGGAATAAAACTGCTGTTACCACAAACCCGAGGGGCTCCGAGAGATTCTATCAGGTAGAAGACATTTCACAGAGGTCACATTGGTGCCGTGACTCGTCCATGACTACGCCGGACCGGGCTGATGTCTTCTTGCCACTGCATAGTTGTGGAGCTGCACTTCTTCCATCGGTGTATTTGACTGTCAGGTTTATTTAGTTATTAACAGCCATATTTACTTCAGACTGTCATTTTGTTTAAGTAAGGGTTCCAGTATGAGTATCAGCAAATTTACTACGTCTGAAATGACTCCTCTAGGTATTGGTAGAGGTAGAGGGCTACACCCGTACCATTCTCACTGGGTGACCCTCTATGGGGGGATAAAACATCTTTTGGTGAAGAACCTGTTCACAGTCCTTTTAGACACAGGGATGTAGTGGCACCCAAAAATCAGCCTATGATTGAGTTACACCCACCACAGTGCACTAGCACATAAGCTCCTAACCCTCCCCCTGATGATGTGAGACTATCTGACCAAATGAGCACCATTGTGCAACAGATAGGGAAGCAGCTAGCTGATAGCATTATGTCACACCTCAACACATCTAGCCCTACGGCTACTGTGCATGCAAGTCATGAAAAAACATTCAATACAAAAGCCTCTTTCCCCGTCAACACGTTAGATCTCTCCCAAATCCAGCTGGTCACTCAGAGAGGAGCCAAAGGCCCACCTGTTTTCCGAGGGGAGGGCTCAGATGTACTGGCTGTCGATGTGTGGGAGGAATCAATGAAGAATTACATAAGAAAAAGTGGTGTCCAGCTGGAAAATCAAGCTGAGGAAATTCTTATCCACCTGAGAGCCAGAGCAAAGGATGTTGTGAGATTTGGAATAAGAAATGGTGAACTTGATGTCCAGCATAACCCATGGGCCACCTACGGGCTCCTATGCAAACATTTTGGCTCAAGCCATTGCTCCACAGTGCCCCTGGCTGACTTTTACTCTACCCTGCCAAATGACCAAGAGGACCCCTTTGAGTATTGGCTTAGACTGAACAGAGCTGCTGAGGATGCTGCAAGCTGCCTTAGAGAGCAGGGTAAAACGTTTGACAACCCGAGTGTTGAAGTCACACGTATGTTCATCAGACATTGCCCCAGCAGCGATTTGGCTCTTATCTTTAGGTCCAAGACGATTGATAAGTGTTCAGCTCGTGAGGTTCAGGAAATACTTGATGAATACCACCTGGAGAAGGGACTCGCGTCTACTGAGAGGAATAGACAAATCAGCATGAATAAAGTCGAGGTTAGCCCTAACACTCCTTAAGTTTCAGACATCCCAGAACATAAACCAGCCATAAGTCAAGACACCTCCACTCTGGAGAGATTGATTGGAATGCTAGAGAAAGTGTTGCTTCAGGGCCCAGGTTATGCTCAAGCCAATAAAAAGCCAAATACCGACAGCAGACTTCCACGGATTGAGGGCTTAAGAGACATGCCATGTTCCATATGTAATGACAGCTCACACTCTGCCCTCACACACTGTCGGGAGAACAGACTGTGTTTCCTGTGTCACCTACCTGACCACTCAAGACGCAACTGTCCAGAGGGGATACGTCCTCCCCCACATTTTCAGCAGGGAAACTGAATGATCTGCGCACAGGGGAGGACAGCGCAGATCAAGTGAGTGAGCCTCCCATCTTGGATTTGCCAGACATTAATGATTATGAAACATTGTGTCACGCCTACAGCAACGTAGTGCCATCACAAAAAACACTGATTGTTCAAGGCCTGCAAAGACTTTCAAAGACTGCCTTTTTTACACAGATGTGTCTACTGATTGTGGTCATGTTCTTAGAGCACTAGTGGACAGTGGATCTACAGTGGGTACGGAAAGTATTCAGACCCCTTTAAATTTTTCACTCTTTGTTTCATTGCAGCCATTTTCCAAAAATCAAAAAAGTTCATTTTATTTCTCAGTAATGTACACTCAGCACCCCATCTTGACAGAAAAAAACAGAAATGTAGAAATTTTTGCAAATTTATTAAAAAAGAAAAACTGAAATATCACATGGTCATAAGTATTCAGACCCTTTGCTCAGTATTTAGTAGAAGCACCCTTTTGATCTAATACAGCCATGAGTCGTTTTGGGAAAGATGCAACAAGTTTTTCACATCTGGATTTGGGTATCCTCTGCCATTCCTCCTTACAGATCCTCTCCAGTTCTGTCAGGTTGGATGGTAAACGTTGGTGGACAGCCATTTTCAGGTCTCTCCAGAGATGCTCAATTGGGTTTAAGTCAGGGCTCTGGCTGGGCCATTCAAGAACAGCCACGGAGTTGTTGTGAAGCCACTCCTTCGTTATTTTAGCGGTGTGCTTAGGGTCATTGTCTTGTTGGAAGGTAAACCTTCGGCCCAGTCTGAGGTCCAGAGCACTCTGGAAAAGGTTTTCGTCCAGGATATCCCTGTACTTGGCCGCATTCATCTTTCCCTCGATTGCAACCAGTCGTCCTGTCCCTGCAGCTGAAAAACACCCCCACAGCATGATGCTGCCACCACCATGCTTCACTGTTGAGACTGTATTGGACAGGTGATGAGCAGTGCCTGGTTTTCTCCACACATACCGCTTAGAATTAAGGCCATAAAGTTCTATCTTGGTCTCATCAGACCAGAGGATCTTATTTATCACAATCTTGGAGTCCTTCAGGTGTTTTTTAGCAAACTCCATGCGGGCTTTCATGTGTCTTGCACTGAGGAGAGGCTTCCGTCGGGCCACTCTGCCATAAAGCCCCGACTGGTGGATTGCTGCAGTGATGGTTGACTTACTACAACTTTCTCCCATCTCCCGACTGCATCTCTGGAGCTCAGCCACAGTGACCTTTGGGTTCTTCTTTACCTCTCTCACCAAGGCTCTTCTCCCCCGATAGCTCAGTTTGGCCGGACGGCCAGCTCTAGGAAGGGTTCTGGTCGTCCCAAACGTCTTCCATTTGAGGATTATGGAGGCCACTGTGCTCTTAGGAACCTTAAGTGCAGCAGAATTTTTTTTGTAACCTTGGCCAGATCTGTGCCTTGCCACAATTCTGTCTCTGAGCTCTTCAGGCAGTTCCTTTGACCTCATGATTCTCATTTGCTCTGACATGCACTGTGAGCTGTAAGGTCTTATATAGACAGGTGTGTGGCTTTCCTAATCAAGTCCAATCAGTATAATCAAACACAGCTGGACTCAAATGAAGGAGTAGAACCATCTCAAGGATGATCAGAAGAAATAGACAGCACCTGAGTTAAATATGAGTGTCACGGCAAAGGGTCTGAATACTTATGACCATGTGATATTTCAGTTTTTCTTTTTTAATAA